CTAATGTGCAGGAAACATGTCAGTAGCAGTTCTTAAAAAGGTCAGTAAAATCCCGAGTTGCTACAGCTAATCACCAGGTTGCCAACAATGCTGCCATCGGGTGTATCATCTCTTATCATTTAAGCGCTTAACCTAAACTGGAAACACCTTTCCTTCACTTATGATCTAGCTAGTCATGTATACAGTTACAGAGATTGATGCTCATATTAAACAGGTCAAAGTTTCAAATAATTAGGTCAGTGTATATACGTGTACATACCTTTTGAGAGCAGGCTAAAAACAAAAGCTCATTCCTTGGACTACTCTACATTCCTAGTTTCCCTGTGAGGGGCAGTAAGTCAAAAGACAGTCAGCTGAAATGGACTTACTGCGAGACAAGCTAAAAAGGCTAGTTTCCAGGCTGAACCAAGTTCCAGTATAAAACAAATAAAGATGATTTTAAAATTTTAATCATGGTGTCTGTAGCAAAGTTACCCTCGTAAAGAGCTTTATTCTACATGTCTCAGTCACACATTCATACAAGCACACCTAACTTAGATTAACACACATTCATATTCTGATGCTGCAACGAAGCATCAACTTGGGGTTAGTATGTTGCCCAGGAGACTTTGGCATGCGGACTGGAGCAGCCAGGGATTGAACGACCAGCCTCCCAATTAGTAGATGACCTGCTGTAGCTCCTAAGCTACAGGCATGCTGATAGAGTCCGAGAACAATTATATTCAGCTGGAAGTGAGTACAGTACATTGATATTAAAACACAGCTGAGCACTGGGCAATTGCAATGTGGACCTTACTGCTGTCAAAAGACCTGTTAGAGAACCACAAAATCTATTACAGCCTATATAGGCCTTAAAGTGATGCAACCAATGACAGCAAAGACAACTTTAAACAACAAATGTCATCTTCACAAAAAACCCCAAAGCATAACATTAGGATTTATGGCCTTGGAAATATGTTTTATATGAAATTTTATCTGATGCTTGAAATTCTTGAATCTGGTGTGAAGATCGGCATTGGCACTATGGAATGTTTAACAAGGCAGGCAGGAAAGGCGGCCTTATTTAAAGACTATCTGGGAACGTGAAATCATCTCAACAACATCTCCCACTGAAGCTTGCACAATATGTAATTCAGGAGATACTCCATTGATTTTGAGAACAAAAGCTTAAATGCTGAGCAACACTTAATCCCATGTGCTAATTAAAGGCAGGGATGGTGCAGACTGCATCTCCTAAATGCTCAAAAAAAAATATGCAAATCTATCATCATCTTTGGCACTTAGACCTTGATTTTACCATAGTAATAACTCTCTTGAGGATTAAAGCATCCAGGTGCAATATCATTATGAAAGCACTGATAAGACTTTTTAGTCATGCTGTTATAAAAAGGAGAAAAGCTGTCTATGGGATGTAGGGGTGCTTGAGCAAATCGCTGACCTCACGGCAGGCAAGCCAAAGAGATATCAAGTGCCTGAAGGAGTCATTTAGTACTAGTTAATGAGAACAGCACTGTCATGCTACAGTGGTCTGTTGGTGGGTACTATGGGGGTCTTGTACTGGGTGATGTTCGGGACACTGCACCACAATGCAGCTCAGAGAACAGCTAAGGTCACTCAGATTAACGCCTGACAGGAAATATGGCTTTTGCACCCAGACATGCACGTATATGCATACAGATGTGAATGTGCACATATGCAAACAGACATACACCTTCCTTCCAGCAAGCATCTCATCTGCGTAATAGCTATTTCAGGAAAGAACACAGCGTCGGGACAAACACTGCCTCCAGCTCTACCCTCTGCCTATGCTCTCTCTGCTTCCCCTGCTCACCCTCTGGCCTTCCTCCTCACTGCTCCTCTGCTTTTCTCTTTTCCTCACCTATACATTTCATCCTCTCAAACTGCTTTTCTGGCTAATTTTCTGACTTTTCAGCCATCCTTCCATCTTCTCTTTGTCTCTTTTCATCCTTGCACCTGCGGTCATGTCACCACGGAGGCTTGCTCAGCAGACAAGCTTACAGTTAGTTAAGACTGGGTGGTGGGCAGCCCACAGTTGCAGAACTTTAAACAGATTTAGAGAATGTGTGCTGAGATGAATTGCATTAATCACAGAGAGGGTGAGAGAAAAAGGGGGACAGGGAGGGGTTAGTGGTAATGGATGGAGGCAGGGGAGTAGAAATGAGTGAAAAGGTCTAACAAACAAGTGAAGGGTGTGAGGGAAAAAGCCTTAGTTGGAGAGGTGTGAATGGCAGTGATGAGAGAAAGGAATGGACTCTGAAAATATGTGTCAGTGTGTGCACTGTATGTTTGCCAGCTCCAAATAAACCACTATCTATCTCACGAGAATAGAAATGGTCAGCTTTGCCCGCAGACTATGATTACTGGCCCAGTTTTGTTTGTGAGCCAGCCGATGCTGCTACCCAGTTTCGCTCACAGACACATCACGATTTTATAAAGGTCTAAAGACCGGGCTAGACAGGATCTTTAAACCATCTACCATTTAAGTTTCTATAAATCTGTTTTTGAGTGTTTTTTATTGCTATACTTACAAGGGTGAAATCTCACAAGGACGGACTGAAAGAGAAAATTATGCAAAGAGGGGAAAATGCTGATATTCACTTCTCTGACAGGCTATTTTAGGATTTAGGATTGGGTTTTTGGATGAGATTTGAGTAATGATAACATTTAGCTTGTGGATTTAAAGGACTACTTTGGCTTGAGGGAACTGATATTTTACATAATAATAAGAGCTCTTCCTGGGTGAACATAAAATTAATGCAGGCCATGGATATCCAGGGGGCAATGAAAAAACTCATTAACGTGGCTTTAAAACCTCTGAAAATCTTGCTTTTTCACCCTCAAATTACTATAATATTGATAATTCAAATGCACAAAAAGTCAAATAATCTTTGTCTTTAGGACCGAATTTTTGTGATTTGATCAGATTTGTTTCACAATGGGAGCAGGATTCACCAACCGTAAGATGTTTAATTTTCACTCTGGTGTCACTAATCATAATAACAATAATACTTTATGAAAGCTTTATATTGTATGTTGCACCCAGAGCCTTTATTTATGTTAATAAATCTCATACTAATGCAGAAGTTTGGCGTTAGAGATGGAAAATGATTTTTGTCTGGTGTTTATATAATCGATCTGTTAATACTGCCATAATAAATGTGTTATTAATGATACAGCCAAGTGAATAACACTTCCCAGAGTTTAAACAAGGCAACATCAAAGTCAATCTTATCATTTGTTACAATGACCATTATTACAAAAACCTTAAAATGTAAACAGATTTAAAAGTTTGATTTAATTGATTCTTTTCCCAGGCGGAGAAATTAATCCCTTTGGAATTATGTCAGGAATTGCATCTGGCATAAAAATCTGCCAAACCTGCCACGGTGACAGGCAAAAATCTCTAAACGTTTTCACACATTTGCCCCTTTGTTTGGACTCCAGCCACGATCCTTTCTATGCACTACCTGTTAAAGTACATGTGAGAATGCAAAAGGCCAGTGTTGTCAGATCAGACGCTAAACAGTCCTTAACCTTCTAGTCCCCTAACATAAACTCCTTGTAATGTCCCATTGTGCTGATTTGAGCTGATGTGAGAATAGCGCAGTAATTGACCAGGAGCGAGCGGTCGCCCTGTGTCTCTTGTCACTCTCATGCTCTGCTCAGGCAGTCTAATCCAAACCTGGCTGACACATCCTATCTCTCAGCGTGCTTCATGTAAGAAAAGAAAAATCCAGACAATGTCCTATTCTGATTCTTGCAGCATTTTACGTGTCACAACCCCTTACATCACCGTGACGCCTGTCGAAAGAGTTTGCAAAGTAACGTTTGGAGCCAGAGCCTAACTTTGCTGTCGATGTGATCGCTGCGAAATTTGTAAAATCGAGATTATTACAGTCACGTTTGCTTGGCCAGTCTCGCACGTTTTCACTCAGCAGCACTGCGGCTGTCCTGAGGGAAAATTTTGCAGTGGCTGTTCGAGACCTCTGAGTTAATGAGGGATATTATACCAGATGTTCCAAAACTGTTTTCTGACCCTGGGTGGCTTATGAAATTGGCCTACATATGGCTACCATATTAAATACACTCAACAACCTTAGCCTGTCCACAGATCAATTATGAAAGTCAGAGACTTGCTACATTTATTTAAAAGAAGAAAAAAACACTTGTGGAGAGGAATCGAAGACAGAGGGACAGACAGGATCCCCCAGAGGATGCGTGTGACTGGGTGGCTGAACTCCTCGCTCCAGGAAAAACAGCTACAAACATCCAAGAGGCAACACAGAAAAGAAGTTGTGCTGTGACTGGACTCTAAAAATGAAATGACTCATAAAACAATTTGGCCTGACAAACTTACTCCTAGGGCTATCGAAACTGAAAAAGTATAACCCCTCCTCTTTCATAATTTATCATGATATACAGCAAAGGCCAAACTGCCATGTGGAAAATGACATTAGAGTTTAAATCAAATACGGGACGTTCATAAAGGTAAATAAATGCAGCTGTGGGGGGAAAAACAGCTTCGCAGGACTGAAATGCCTTGTATGAGATTTAGGGAAGGGTAATTTTATCCAGTGTAAGGAGGTCACTGACCTGCAGGAGCATGAGAATATCTACTTAATGTTGCACAAAAAGACGAGTGAAGATATAAATACTCTGGAGGAAAGAATCCCCCCAAAGTGAATCTATTTATTAAGTTAATGGAGAAATAGAGAATTTCAGTTTGCATATCAGACAGACTATTAAAGTTTGACAATACTCACTGGGAGCAGTGGGTACCGCATACTACTGCTAATGTGAAAATACTGTCAGTCAATGTAGATTATACAAACACGTTAATCTTAAAGGGATGACCTGAACCCTGTGGAGTCCTCCCCTCCTCTGAGGGGCGAGAGAGATGTCAGAGCTCCCCTGTGGGCTGGAGGTCTGGAGAGCCAACCCTCTGGGACCCCGCTGAAGAGGAATAAAACTGTGTTCACCTGTACCTTCTGCGCCCGCCGCTTGTCTGCTCTCTGGTTCTGGTGATAGATGCGGCTAAAGTTGGACACGATGACAGGGACAGGCAGGGCAATTACCAGCACCCCGCTCAGAGAGCAGATTGAACCAAAGATCTTCCCCGCGATCGTCTTAGGAACCATGTCTCCGTACCTGCGGAAAGCGACAAGGAGAAAGAGATAATTAATTTAGTAAAACACCTATTGCATTTAATAAAATCTGTCTGCAGTAGCTCAACTTTCTAGTCAAGCACAGCCGACTTGAGGTCATTCATTCAAATCCCACAGAAGCACATGCTACTGTATTTCATGTTCAATTTATTTTAATTTGCCGGCTATTCATTCTTCCACTGCTTTCATCTTCTTTAAAGGCTTCTCTATGCTGCATGTATCAATGCCCACCAGAACAAGACTTGGCCTGCTGACTCTATTCCACCCGAAGGGAGAAAAAGAGACGCTCCAACCAAACCTCGTCTGTCACTGAACGGCACAGTAAAGTCCACTGACTCATTCACTGAGAGCAGATACTATTAACCTTTAGAGAGGAGAAAGAGGAGGACACTGTATGCCGGGGACATTTCCCAAAAGTCATTTAGCCCAATTCAGTCTGAAATATTTGCAAGTCAAAAGCAATTTCATCTTCAGTTCAAAGAGAGACAACACTACAATAACTATATTAAATCTCCCCCTTTTTTCCCAGTGAAGAAGCCATGCTGTAAGAATAAAGAATGAGAGGATGAAAAATATAGAAGAGAATAAATTCAAAAGCTAAAGAAAACACAACTTAAGCTGGGAAAGCAACCTTTATTTTTAATGGTGTTCATTTCTTATTCATGAGTAAAAAGAGCAAGTAATTTGTTCTTGTTTTCCAGCTAAACAACAAGTTTGACTGAATTCATTAGACCTGATCCAGCTAAGCCTACACATAAAACTTTGAAAATACTTTTTCTTTATATTTAACCTTTATTTATTTGTTTTTCTTTATAGTCAAGAGCATGGCATTTGTGGTAAAGCACAGTCAAGCTATTCCTGTGCAGTAATCACACTAATGTACAGTACTTACACAAAACTGATGCATAAATACGGTGTGTGTATGTGGTCACTAAACCACCTACCAGTACTTGTTAAAGACAAGTTAGCTCTAGAGCATAGGTGTCAAACTCTGGCCCGCGGGCCAAATTTGGCCCGCAGCCTAATTACATTTGGCCCGCGAAGCCATACCAAATTACTATCAGAGCTGGCCTACTGGTATTATACAGCTAATATATATATTGTTTAGTATTAAGCTTTGCTTGTTCCATATTCAGTTTTTCAGCAAAACTTGTTTGAGTCCATAAGAAAAGATTCATTCTTCTATCTGGAGGAAGATTTTTTTTTTCAATAAGTATTAAGGTTAGCCCGCGACTTTGTTCCAGTTTTGAATTTTGGCCCACTGTGTATTTGAGTTTGACACCCCTGCTCCAGAGCAACAGGCTAACATTTGAAAGTACTGAACATAGCTTATGCAAAGAACATAACACAGGTGATCCTCACACACACACACACACACACACACACACACACACACACACACACACACACACACACACACACAGGTCAAACTAAATTACACTATAAGTACGTTAGTCTGAACACATCTGTTCAGTTGCCCACTAATATCAATTTCTAATCAACCAATCACGTGGAAGCAGCTCAATGGATTCAGGCGTGTAGATCTGGTCCAGACAACCTGCTTTGACTTCAGATCAAAGCCAGGATCAGAAGATAGGGAAGAAGGGCGATTTTAGGTGACTTTAAACTTGTCATGGCTGTTGGTCTGAGTATTACAGAAACTGCAGATCTGCTGGGATTTTCCTGCACCTCCATCTCTGGGGTTTACAGAGTATAGTCCAAAAAGACAAAATATCCACTGAGCAGCAGTTCTCTGGGCAAAAATCCCTTGTTGATGCCTGAGGAAAATAGCCAGACTGCTTTGAGCTGATAGGAAGGCAACTGCTCTTCTTCTTGTGGCTGTTTCCACAGCGAGTCATCTGACTCCATCTTACCCAATCCCTAGCATCCTCATCCAACCCTCTGTAAGTCCTTCACTACATCCATGAATCTCCTCTGTGGCCTTTCTCTTTTCCTCCTACCTGTAAGCTCCATATCCAACATCCTTTGACCAGTATATGCACTATCGCTTTTTTGGCCTTGTCTAAACCATGTCCATTTTCAAATCTTCCTTGGCTCTCGTACTTTGTCTTCAAACTCAACCTGAGCTGTGTTATTTCCAGTCCTGTCCATCCTGGTCACTCCCAATGAACATCTAAGTATCAAAAGCTTACCTGCTCATTGGGAAATCAAACCTCAGCTCGCTCCTGCATGGCAGGGATAGAAAGGCCACAATCACTTGTTCTAACTAAGTCACACAGAAGAGCATCTCTGAATGCAGAACATATCAAATCTTGAACGAGAACACCACATCCAGTCTTTTTTTGCTGCTGTGTCATTTAGATGTTAGGGTTAAAATTTTGTGTAAACTACATAAAAGTTTAGATTCAACCTGCCTAGTATCAGTGGTTCAGACTGCTGGTGTAATGGTATGAAGGATAGTTTCTTGGCACACTTTGGGCTCCTTAGTACTTACTGAGCATCATTCAGATATAACAGCCTTCCCGAGAATTGTCCAACCTTTATGACCACAGTGTATCTTCTGATGGATGCTTCCAGGAGGATAACTCGCCAGGTTACAAAGCTCATGGTTTTACAGTTTACAGTACTCAAATTACCTCCACATTGAGAACATCTCAGTCCAGTAGAGCACCTTTGGGATGTGGAGGAACAGAAGATTCACATAATGGATGTGCAGCTAACAAATCTCCAACATCTGTTTTACGAGGAGTCATCGTTGATAATATGCCATGAAGGATTAATGCCGTTTTAAAAGCATGGGGCCATACCCAGGAATGCTTAACAAATAAAGTGGCCAGTTAATGTACTACTTGTTATGTTACATCTAATCATTACTTGGAGTATTAAGTGGAGTCCTTTTACACTGTTGTAAGGGCACTGCTTCTACTACAGATAAATACACACAGTGTATTTGAATCATTTTCTGGAAAGTCTATTTTCACTTCGATTACTATTAGCAGATACATTTACATAGATACTATCAGCACATGGTGCTGATGCAGTTGATGTGTTATGGGACCCTATAGACCCTAGTCAGTCAGCTTGTTACTGCTATTAGTCATATACATACACACATGTTTTCACACATCAGCTTACTAAAATAAGACAATCTGTGTAGAGATACAGTAAAGAGAAGAACCCTGTCAATACCTTTAAAGCACTCCCAAGACAGATAATCTACAAAATATAGCCAAATAACTCTCGTTACAGCAGTCCTCTTTGAGAGATCACACACAAAGGCACTGGTTGTTATTTGAGGACTTGCAAAGAGTGCACAGGAGGCTTTTCTACAATGAACAATAATCTGCTTAAAATGTTGTGCTTACGATAGTCATTTTATAATCTAATGAAACACTTCTGTCGCAGTCTGTTGGTCCGAGTAAGAAAAGCACAGCGGCAATACATATGCGCACATTAACCATAAACACACACACAGAAAAGCCATTCGGTTTATTTCGGCGAGGGAGATGAAATTCAAGATGAAACCTCATACTCATTAGTCACAGATTTCGGCAAAACAAGCCTGATATGAAGGCATTTAAGTTAAGGGATGCTTTTTCATCTACAAAGTAAAGCACTGCCCACACACAGCGATGGTCCACAGCCATAACTGAGAGTATACTTACAGAGAACATTTATCGTCCCTTCCAAGAACTTTAATGGCCTTTCTACCCAAATTAGGCAATAACAATCCTATCAGTGGTACAAAGGCCCTATCACTGCACAACATTTCATCTCCTCCCCTCTTCAGAAGATGTTCCCATTAGAAGGAAAGAAAACCTAATCATATTCATCTGCAAGCTTTCTTTAATGGGATCCTATTAGATTTCCTGATAGAGGCCCTTCACTCCTAATACTACAGTCAATTTGCTGCTCCCATTTAGTCAAGCTGGTCCGTCTCTGATGATACCACCATCAGCTATTATATATGCAACAGAAAGAAAAAGCTGGGTTTGCACACATTAAAGAAAGAGCTTTAATAAGTGCTATGAGAGAACACACATGCTCGCGTGCGCTTGCAGTAAGCTAAATGCAAATTCTTCTCCTTTGCAGGCCGGGGTCATTTCTGACTGAGAAAGATGATGCTAAAGTTGGCACGTGAGGTGGAGGTAAATTTCTCTCAGCAAGAAAAGAGATGGATAAACAGTGAGAGGAAGTGATATTTTCTAAGCAGATGCTGTGCAGTGAGAAGACTGTCTGATCTCTCCATCAGCTCCCCTGCCTTCCTCTCTGGCTCATACCACAGTCCCACATGCGCACAAACACACAGAATGATGGGCTTTCTGTATGCGCAAATAATCACAGAGTGCACATGCATGCACATGAAGCATCTAGGTCAGGCGGGAAGGTCAGTTCTTGGTCTGAATAGTCACGTCCTCTGATAAGAGGACCAGCTCTCTCTGGATTATTAAAGCCTATAAGGGTCGGACGGGAGCTTATTGAGTGGAACTGAGTGCTCTTGTGAAGTTATGTGTGATGGATGGATTATCAGAGATGGTCTGAGGAGTGACAGACACAAAGATTTGTGATGATGGCAGTCCGTGTCACGTCAGGTCAGCGAGCCACAGCTCACAGCCTTTAAATACCTGATAAGCTCAACCATTTCTGAAAGTAAGAAATAGCATTAAATAATCACTGTTTATGAAAATTTATATGAACATGTGCTTTGTAAAACAGGATTTTTATTGTATGTGTAAACTACATGCACCATAAGCTAAGATTAACTTAGTGAGTGGACTCAGCTGAGATAAAATAAATATTTACAACGAAACTTGTTTTTAATTTGTGGTCCATAAAATGCTTTTACAAACAAGATTCACGTTCCTATTTCTGTTTTTATAACAGGAAGATTCTATTGAAAAAAGGGGGAAGTGAGACAAAGAGAAAGATAGAGGGAGACTGAAATACGAAGCAGTGAGAGATGGGCTTCCACTTAAAGACACACTCCTCTCTAATTGTATGCGTATAGTCTAAGTAATCCTG